CCGCCTCCGCCTCCGCCTCCCTCATCCGCCTCCGCCTCCGCCTCCGCCTCCTCCTCCTCCTCCTTCTACTCGCCCTCGTCCTCCTCCTCCTCCTCCTCCTCCTCCTCCTCCTCCTCCTCCTCCTTCTCCTCCTCGCCCGCCACGTGCGCAAGCCAACATAGCAACAGTCGTGCAATATGGACTGGCGTAGTAGGCGAAGCGACTGATTTTCGATGCTGCACTTGCACGGTGGCAGCGTTGGCCAAGGACGGCTGGATATGTTCACTGACGAGCGAGAGAAATCGAGAGAGAGAGAGAGGGAGAGAGAAACAAAAATAAGAAAGACACCAAACAAACAAACAAACAAACAAACAAACAAGCAAACAAACAAACAAATACAAACAAACAAATAAGCAAAAAAACTGGCGCCGAGACACAGGCACAGGGATCCGATGTCTTGCTCTGTTCAGCGCAGACCCTTTTCCGAGGGCCAGCTGCTTTTCTCATGAGTCGTTTCTTAACCGCCCTGGGCCGGGTGAGGTGCTGCGCTTTCAATACGTGGGAAGCCCGGGGGGAGAGGAGGCGTCCTGGCGCCGCGGCGTCCTCCTGCCGCGGACCGCTGGCCCTGCCGCGCCCCGCCCGCGAGCTGCGAGAGGGGGGCGGGGGGCCGGCTCCCGACCTCGGAGCCCTCGCCCTCTGCCGGCAGGGGCGCTGCCCGACTGGGGCGGCAAGCGGCGCTGCCCCCCGGCCAAAATCCGATCAAGCCCCGGACCCTGGCCGGGGCCCCTGCCGGGGGCCGTCCTGTGCAGCGTCATCCCGGCCCAGACGTGCTGGCGTCACGACAGGAAGCTTTTCGCTGCCCGTCGGCCTCTCGGGGGCCCCCGCCGGGCCCCGGGGCCGTCACAGAACGAGTCGGGTTTGAAAGACCAGCCCTGGGGGAAGGGTCGGGCCTTCCGGGGGCCCCGCACTGGGAAAAGAAAGGCACCAGGCCTGCGTCTGTAGGGAGCCGCGTCCAGCCGGGGCGACAGGCAGACCTTCCAAGGCGCCCCCGCAGACCGCAGACCTCGCCACCGACAGAAGCGGCAGCATCATCAGCAGGCAGGAGCGGTGGGGGGCGTCGGCGGTGGCAGCAAGGGCAGCATCGGGCGCGGAGGCGATGTGTCCGGGACCTGCGGGGTGAGCTCTGATGGGCTGCTGCTCCCATCTCTTGGAGGGCGCTGGGGGGCAGCGTCGTTGCCATGGCCAGATCCCAATACGCTCGGTCGGCGCGGTTGATCTGTCAAGAGCAACCCTTACGACCCCCATTCGCACGAAGCGGTGCGGGAGCTGAAGGGGGGCAGCCAGGGACGCCGTCCTCGGTTCGCAGATCCTTCATGTGCATCTGCTCGACGCACTTGTGGGCGTCCTCTCGGCGGCGCGCAAGGACGATGGGAGGGGGCAAGGGGGCGCGCTCGACCTCCGGGAGGCTCGGAGGCTCCAGCCCAAGGACTTGTGGATGCTGCTCGCCCCCTGCTTTGGGGGCTTCCTGCAGGCATCTCGCCGCCACGGCTCCACCCAGCCCGCAAAACTTGCCAGGATGGACCACGGGATGGGTTCGGGAACCCGCTTCGAACGGTATTGTGGCCGGGGTGCGAGGGAGGCGCCCCCCCCCGAGATGGCAGAGGGGGCCTCTCAGAGGACCCACCCCCCACTGCCTGCCGAGAAGCCTTCTGGAGAGCATCTTGGCCCCGCTGGGGCTCAGAGGCACAGACAACCACAGCTGCAGTAAGCACATCAAGCCTGAGCTGTCGCAGATCCGCGCGGATGGCTGGATCGGGGACCGCATGCGAACCCTAACCCTACCCCACACGATTGCTGAGGGGGTGGCTGGGGTTCACTTCGCTCGGGAGCTGCCGAGCGAGGTGAACCCCGCCCTCCCCTTGAGAAATCGTGTGGGGTAGGGGTAGGGTTCGCCTGTTGCCCCCTGCTGGAGTCGGCGCTCGACCATGCGCCCCGCACCCCTTCTCTGGGGCGCGGAGCGCGCCGGGGGCGGCGCGCCAGGGGCGAGGGGGGGGGAGGAGGGTCCAGCGCCGACCAAACGATCCGCGCGGACCTCCGAGCGTGTGTCATGATGCAGCTGTTCGTCCTCCTCGATTCGCAGAGGCCGCAGGCCCTTCCGAGATATGCCCTGCCTTCTCAGAAGGCCCCCCACCCCTCGGGGGTTGCCAAAGGTGCCCTGGCCCAAGGTGCCCCCGGCTTTTCGCTCCACTCTGGAGCCCCTCGGGCCCCGTGGGCCTCGTGAGGGGTGCTCGGGAGGCCGTGGGGGCCTCCTGGGAACTCCTGGGGGCACCTTGGGCCAGGGGCACTTCGCGCAACTCTCGAACCCCTCGGTCCCGCCGCGCGGCCTACACGCTGCGTAAGACAGCGAACCTAGCCAACCCGGCCCCCAGTGCCTCGAGAGCTGCGCCGCGACCCCCGCGGCCACGAGAGAACCCCCCCGGGGAGGCCCGAGTGGAGGACAATGGCCGACAACATAATGCGTGAGGTCGAGCCCCCTTCGTTCGCGCGCGCGCAAACATGGATTAGCGATCCATGGATTTGGCGCGCGGTCGCCAAATCCATGGATCGGGGGGGGGGGGCCAACCCAAAATGCGGCCGGTGCCCGCCTCGCTCGGCAGCGGAAACCCGCGATTTCCTCTGGGAACGGGCCCCGTCGCGAATCCGAGCCCCCTTGATCCATGTCTGCGATCGCCCGAGAAACGACATGGGGAGGTGGGCTCAGGGGGGAACCCATCGACCCCGAATGGCCCATCGTCGTCGGTGAGGGCACGAGATAGCCCACCCCGCCCGGGGACGTGCCGCCATTGAGTATCGTCAGCCGATCCCCATCCCCAGCGGCGTGGCCTGGGCCCCACTGGCCGATGTATCCCCCTAGATGGGTGTGTATAGATAGATACACATATGCACATATATATATATATATATACACACACAAACACACATATATATACACAAACATATATATATATATATATATATATAGATAGATAGATAGATATAGGTCGTTCCCTGCGGGCTTCGAGGGATGTATCCCACATTGGGGTGGTAATGTGGTGGGGGTCTCGAAGGGGACGGGGATGGGGATGGGGATGGGGATTGGTTAAACGATGCCGAGCCACCTCGAGGTCCTATCGCCGATCCATCGGCGACGCATCGCCGATGCCATCTCGATGGCCCCCTTCGAGCGGGTCCCCCCCTGACGCTTCCCCTCACTCCGGAGGGGAGAAGGTACACGGACACGAATCATCGGAAAATGGGGGGAATCCGAGGATTTGGGTCTGTACATTTGTGCGTCCCCACTTCACTCACGAAGGAGGCTCGACCTCTGGGAGGTCCGACCTCACACGTCATGGAATCGGCGATGCGTCGCCGATGGCTCGGCGACAGGATCTCGAGATAGCGAAACCGCACGTTCCTGGGTGGGGTGGGCATCAGGCCCCTGTTGGCGATGCTGGGCGAGTGGGGGTCGATACCTTCCCCCGTGAGCCTACCTCTCCTGTCGTTTCCCCTTGATTTTCAAACAATCGCTCGGCTCTCCAGCGGGCGTTTGGGACGATCCGGGCACCCCGGGCACGCCCCCGGCGAGGCGCAGCTGCTGCAGAGCACCCCGAGGCTGGAAAACCGCCGAAACCCGGCAAAAAACGCCCGATAATCCTCGACCCTGCTAACGCATCGCCTGACTTCGTCCCACCCCCCCTCTGCGCACGGCGCTGGTCCTCGGTCGACTCGAAGTCCACGAAGGCCATCCGCCTGCCCATCTTGTCCGTCCTGACAGCGCTGGCCTTGATGGGGCCGAACTGGCTCGCCTCCGCCACGATCTTCTCCTCTGGGGGCGCACGCCCATGTCTGCACGGCTTCCCCCGGGGCCGTAGGCGACCCGAGGAGGAGGAGGCGGAGGAGGAGGAGGAGGAAGAGGAGGAGGAGGAGGAGGAAAAGGGGGAGGAGGAGAAGGGAGGAGGAGGAGGAGGAGGAGGAGGAAAGGGAGGAGGAGGAGGAGGAGGAGGAGGGAGGAGGAGAGGAGGAGGAGGAGGAGGAGAGAGAAGGAGGAGGAGAACGGTTTGCCTAAGCCCTTCGGAGAAACCCTCCACCCATGTCCCCCATTCGAGGCCTTCGGGGTCCCCTCCTCCACTCCTCCCCGCCCTCGAGGACGGGCGAGGGTCGAGCTTCGAGGATCCCGGCTCGAAGATCGGAGAGAACGCGTTTCACGGGCGCTTGCCGTGGGAAAATTCGGCGGCGCGTTTCGAACTGGGGGGGGCCCCCCCCTCAACACTCGGCGCCGTCGATCAAAATCAGGGGGACTCCCCTCCCCCCAAACCCCCCCCTCCCGAACTCCCCCCCTTCGGCGCCGGCGCTGGCGGCGCTGGCGCTGGCGGCCGCCAGCAGCGCCGACGGCGGGGACGCAGCGACGATGACCAGAGGCAGCCCACGGGGGAGGGACCTAAAAACCCCCCGCCCCACCCCCGCCTGGCGCTGGCGACGGCGGGGACGCAGCGACGATTACCACCACCACCACCACCACCACCACCACCACCACCACTGCTACCACCACCACCACCGCCTCAACCCACCACCACTACCACCAACCCACCACACAACCACCACTACCACCACCACCACCACAGCCACCACCACCACCACAACCATCACCAACCACAACTCACCATCACCACCACCACCACAAAAACCCACCACCACTACAAGCACCACCACAATTTTCTACCACACCACCACCACCACCGCCATAACCACCACCACTACCAGCAGCACAAACCACCACCATCACCACTACAAACCACCACACCACCACCACCACGGCCACCACCACCACCACCACCACCACCACCTCCACAAACCACCGCCACCACCACAACCCACCACCACCACCACTACAAACCAAAACCACACCACCACCAAACCGCCACCAAACAACCACCACAACCCACCACCACTTCCACCACCACCACAAACCACCACCACACCACCACCAAACAACCACCACCACCACCACCACCCCGACCACAACCACCACAACCATCACAAACGACCACTCCACCACCACCACAACCACCACCATCGCCACCACCACCACCACAACCCACCACCATCACCACCGTCTTCCTCTTCGACGCTCCCCGCCGCTGCCGCCCGCCGCCGCAGGCGCCGGCGCCGGCCCAGAAAAGGAAATCGTCGTCCCCGCCGCCGCCGCCAGCCGCCGCCGACGCAGGCGCAGACTCAAGGAAAGGGAGAGAGGAGAAGTAGGCGAGGGGGGGGAGGGGGTTCGACACCCCCCCCACTTCCGTCACGGGAAAAGGCGGGCGGGGGAGTTCGAGCTCGCCCCCCCTCAATCCAGGGGGGGGTGTCCAGTTCCACCCCCCACCCCCCCTCCAAGCGACCACGGAACGCGCTCTTTCGAAGATCGGCGGCTTCGGGTGTGTTCCCAGGCGCTCCTGGGCCTCCTAGTCGACGCGGCCGGATGCGCCTCGAAGTCCTGGTCCGAGCGCAGCACAGGAGAGGTCCAGGGGCAGGCTCTCAGACCACAGGCCCGAGCCCCCCTCGCGTCGCGAAGAAAGCACGACGCGATGTTTCTTCACGTGTTCGGCCTCCAGGCGGGGCCACGGGGCCTGTGGGCCGTCGAACATCTGCTCGGAACAAGAGGCCAGTCCCTGGGGAACGGGTCGAGACCTCAGCGGGCCCACTGCGAAAGAGACACAACGTCGGGGGTCTGAGGACTCACTGGCAATGAGATTTGCCCCCGCAAAGGCGTCGATGCCTCTCCCAAGGGTCTCCCTCCTCCTCTTTCTCATCCTGTTCGCCGAACAAGTCAGTAGCTGCGATGAGCTCCTCCGCCTGTGCGAGTCCCCCACCAGAACGGAGCGATATACCTTGCACGCCTGGCAAAAGGATGGGAAGGCCCCGGCAACAATGAGGCGGCCAATCAGATCAACATCCGGAAGTGTGGCGGATTCGCGCGCAGAGCGTCGCCTGATCTTGAAGTCGCAAGGTCATCGGACCAACGGCGTGCTAGATCCCCCAAGCGGGTAATATCAACTACGGCAGGTTCGCGCCGCGACGACTCTGGCGGTGGCAGCTGACACCGCACGAACAAGTTAACCTTGAACGATCACGTTCAACCTCGAACGCCCGCGGCGGGGTCACCGCCGCGTCAGCACGACACGAACATACCGTCGTGTTGTAGAATTAGTTTCCAGAGAGCGGGCGAAAGCGCGCCAAGAGCGCAGATCAGCGCGCATCAGGCATCATGCTGGCGCCAAGAGCACGGATCAATGTTCTGCGGCAACACATTGGAAGCCTCCCATGCCATCTGGTTGGCCCTTGTGAATCGACGCTGGTCGGCGCTCATCGACGTTAGATCGCAGCTGACCGACGCCAGCCGACGCCAAGTCGGCGCTGTCTCGTCGATCACCAGACGCTAATTGACGCGGATGCGCTCCAGAGACGAAGTTACGAGGGGATGCAAAGGCTCCCATGACTTGCTGCCGACTTGATGCGTATCAGGCCTCATGCTGGCCCCCAGACGGCCCCGAGGCGGCCCAGGACGGTCCGAGCTAGCCGCACGATCACCAAGACGGTACAAAAAAGGCTGAACAGCCTTTTTTCCTCTCTGAGGCTGGCATTATCGCCCAGTCTTTACACTGAAACAGCGCGCGTGTTTCGCCTCTGCGGCCCACATGGGACTCTCGGGCCCCAAGGTGGAGCCAAGAGGGCCCCTACGAGAGGAGGCCCCAAGACACACCAAGAGGTCTTCCAGACTGCTCCAAGAGAGCCCCCGAGCTGGCCCAAGAACGGTCCAGGAACGCGGGCCCCAGGCCGTAATATGGCCCAGGGATGAACCCAAGACGCCCCCAAACGCAACAAGACGGGGGGATGATGTCCCTGACATGGCCCTCAATAACCTCAAACAGCCGAAGTCACTGTTCAGGCACCTAAAGTAGTTGGTCGAACATGCGTCCCTCGGTGGCCCCCAGAATTGGCCAGATGGCCCATTACAGAAACCCTGAACCCAACAATGTTATCATCTCTTGGGATGTCGACTTTTGCATCCGCCAGCTTGCGCCGAGCTCCCGCCAGCTTCCGCCGGCGGAGCCGCCGCCGTTTTACTACCGCCGCCTTCCGCCGACCTTCCGCCGCGGAAGAGATGGAAGTCCCTTTCCTCCAAGGCAAAGCCCTTCTTTGGAGCGCCCCAGACGTACTGTTGCTGGCCTTCCCGCCATGGCAGGCTCCAATGGGCGCCTCGGCCCCCGAAGTGGCCCCACGAGAACCCCCAAGGAGAGCGCTGCGAGAGAGCCCCGGCACGCCCCAGCAGGGCACCCAGCGAGCTACGAGAGGTCCCCAAGGCTATCGAAGAACTTAGGCCAGTGGAGGCCGAGCCAGGAGTTTACCCCAAGGTTGGCCCAAAAAGCCCCGATATGGCAAGATGGCCCAGACGGCTCAATCTGGTCCAAGACAGCAAAATGTAACCCTGGATGGCCGAATAACCTCTCCTCGGAGACTCCCAAGACGCCAACACACTTGAACACACACTGAGTGCACGACGATCATCGCCAGGAAAACCCACGAGCGGCCCAAGAGCGGCGACCAACTGGTGTCAGGCTCAGAATTACCACAACAAGTTCCAAGCCGACCCCAAGAGGCCCCAAGATAGCTTGAATGCGGCCCAGTGTTGTCCAAGACACCACCCAAGAGGCCCCCCAAGAGATCCCAAGAGATCCGACGAAGCGCCCAAGACGCCCGCAGGAACACACCTGAGGCCTCCCAGCCCCGAGTCATACAGGATGCTCCGACAGCCCACGAAAGGGTTTGAATCAATTGTCGACTCGTGACTGCTGGGCTTCGCTGCCGAAACTTCGGCGGTAACATTTCCGTTGCACTCAGTATACCGAGCGACTGCTGCTCCCAAACGCGAGCCTCACACGACAGCGTGGGAGAGCACTACATCCCGACGATTTCAAAAGGCCAACGAGCACACAAGCAAATGGGGAGGAATCTAGACACCTCTGGCCGGCGGAATGCGAGGACCAATTGAAGCTGCGTGTGTTGACATCTCTGCGCTTGCGTGCAGACTTGCCCTCCTGTGTGCCTTCTTCTCCTCGTCGTCCTCGTCCTCGTCCCCTCTTCCGCAAAAGGTGAAGGGAGGGAAGGGCAGGAAACGGGGGCCTAGAAGGAGCGGCGGGGCAGGAGATCTCGCTGCCACAAACGGGCTCGGCTGCCCCAAAAATCCTCGTCCCAGTCGTCGGGGAAGCCCTTGATGTAGAGGTTCGTGTAGTTGTCCTCCTTCTGCGGGCGCCTCACCGAGCGGCAAATCGCGCCTCCGATCCCTGCCCCGAGATCGGCGATCAAGAGGGACAGGCGAAGGCAGGAGGCCGAGGAGGAGCCGGCGAGGGACGGAGGCAGGACTGCGCCGCACCGAAACACCGCTGTTGCCCACAGGCTCGCGGACGGCAAAACCCTGTCCAGGAGGGGGCGGTGGCGGAGGGAGGAGAGAGCGGGGGGAGGGAGGAGAAGGGCCTTTCCCCTCTCCCTCCCCCACCCAGCAGGGTGCTGGCCCTCCTGTCTCCTTGCCAAGGGGGCGTGGAGTCGTCCCCTGGGGTCGCGGGCGAGGCCATCGGTCATGGGCCGGCCTGCCAATTCGCTCTGCAGTCGACGATGCTGTGGAGGGCCCATCTGCTTCACAGGCTCCAGAGTCACAATCGCAAGGTGTGGCAACCCCGTCGTTGTCAAGTCGCTCTGCAATCCATGATGCTGTGGAAGGCCCATCTGCTTCGAGGGCTCCAGAGACACAATCGCCAGGCGTGGCAACCCCTTCTTTGTCAAAACGCTCTGCAATCCATGATGCTGTGGAAGGCCCATCTGCTTCGAGGGCTCCAGAGACACGATCGCCAGGCGTGGCAACCCCTTCTTTGTCAGATCGCTCTGCAGTCCATGATGCCGTGGAGGGCCCACCTGCTACGCGAGCTCCAGGAATCACAACCGCAAAAGCGTTGCAACCTCTGTTCCGTCTTTCCACATCCCCGCGGCTACGTGGGAACGTATTCGGCGTGAGGTGGGAGTTGTGTCAGGCCCTCCGTCCCTCGATTATCGTTGCTCTGCGCTTCTTCCCTCCGTAGCCATTCGGCTCCAACCCAAGCAGCCTTCCACAGCTTCAGGCCTCTATGCCAGTTGGGCCTCGGCCGTCGAATGCACCATAGGCAGTCATCAGGACATCCATGTCCCATCAAGCCCCAGCCGAACAACTGGAATCAACTTCGTTCGGCAAGAACTGTGGATGCTAAAGAAGAGCCGTACCGCGACATTGCGGGATCGGATCAACTGCTGGTGGACCCAACCCCATACTCTCCATCACTCTGTGACACATCATCGTAGGCGTGGTAACGGTCAAGCTCAGCAGTCACAGTACCTCCTAGCAGTGCAGCGCGACTTGGACACCCGTCGTGAACGCGTTCATACGGTACTACTTCCAGGCAAACATCTGGAGTGGCATGGATGGTTGCCCTCATTTTAATATCTAGCCGATTGCACGTCCTTCAGGCTCGAAGGTCTTGTCGACGTGCGATCCAGCCATCCCTCGGAGAGTTCAAGGATATCGCATCGGACATGACCTTGTTGGGCAAGTTACATCGGTCGCCCAACCCTTTCGCCTTTGGTGGGTCTTGAGAATGACAATCAGGGCCAGGTCTTATGCCACCGACGCAACATCATGGATGCCAAGGCCCTTAAGGCCAAGGCTTGACACAACAAGTGGGCGCCCACGCCTTTGCAGGAGAAGCCAGTGCTCAGAGTATTCAGCACGGTGCAAAAAGCGGCCGTTGACGACCCTCTCTCTTCCATCTCTATCGCAAACATCCGCGCTGCCCTGCGGAAAGAAGATGAAATCTTCCACCGGCATGGGAGTCGAATTCCTGTCACCGGTGGACTTGGAGCGGCTTCCTGACGCGGCTCTTGGGGAGCTAGCTCTGGTGTTCGAGGCGCGCGAGCATTTTCACTGCAAAAACCCATCAACAACAATCCCCGCCCCGATTGTGTGTCGAATCCGCTTCCCCCCAGGGGAGCTACAACCGCTCCCATTGAAGAGTCGGTGCCACCCCCTGGCAACCAGCGCGGTCAGAGGCTCGAATCGCTGTGAAACTCCATAGCAGCAGCGGTCGAAAAAGGCAGGCTGGGCAAGCGTCACTACATTCAGGGAGGAGGGAGAGGAGTAGGAGAGGGAGGCAGGAGGAAGGAAGAGGACGACGAGGAGTGAGAAACATCAGGGACCAGCATCAAATCGAGGAAATGCCGTTACACCCGAAATTGACCTTCTGTCTGTCGCAGGCGTCGGTCAGCACGGGCCAACCGATACGAAGTCCCACGTGAAACGTATCTGCCAGATCGAGCCAGTGCTGCGTTCAAAACTCGATGGTCCCAGCGGTCCATCCAAAAGGCAAACAGACCATCAGACAGACCATGAGACGGAGCCTGGCGATCGGCGGTGGAGCATCTAGAAGGGATGTCGGTGGCTCACCGCATCAAGCATGTGCGGGGGCCTGTGCCAGCAGTTTGTATGCATCTGTTTGAGGCGGGGTGGTCGGCGCCATCTGCCGCAGGATGGGCAGTCCCGCCGTCACATGAGTTCATTGGAGATAAATGGCGCTTTGATGGCCACATGTGCACGGGAGTGGAGGCGATCGGTTCTCATTATGGCCTTCTCAAAGATGTGTCAGCCCTGCTTCAGCTAAGGTATTGGCGACAGGCTGATCTCGGGGAGACGCAAGACTCGGGTTCGGGGGACTCAATTTGGCCTGGCGAGGTGTTCAAGAACATGACGAGACCCAGTCTGAAAGTTGACGCGAGCTCCCACTGCAAACATCCCACGAAAACTAGGCAATCAAAATCCAGGGCGAGCTTGTCAAAAAGCGTCGGCCAACCTGAGACCTGGCAAACCCGCATCTCACTTTTCCCCGATGATCAGCACAACTGTGGAGAGGGCCTTCAAGGTGGGTCCGACGTGGAGCCATATCGTACAGTGCTGCAGCAGCTCGATGTGGTGCCTCAAGCTGGGCATCGTCTGGGCGAAGCCATGCTATCGGTAATGGCCGGAGGCACTGGGCCCAGGGCTCTCGCAAGAGAGCGGAGCTGCCATGTTCTGCAGGATCAGAGCTGTGGCCTCGGTACTTGGGAGGCACCTGAGACATCGCATCGCTCCACGGCAGCGGGCTCTGCAGTGAAAAAATTGTGGCAAGGAGGCCCATACTCGGTCCCCAAGGATATGGTCCACCACGCCACGGTGCAGTCAGAAGCTGGACTGGACTTCTGGCTAAGAGGCTTGCTTCCTGAGACTTGGATTTCTGTGTCACACCCACTGCTGGAGGGGTCTTGAGCCACTACTGCACTACTGCGGTTCATCAGGTAGGCCCTGGCTGTTGGAGGGGGGGGGCGAGCAGTTTCCCCTCCTCATTGTCCGAGACGCCAGTGGTGGAAAGGACATCTCCATCACCAACTTCGGAAGAGTAGGCTTTGCAGTTCGGCTCTTTCATGATTTGGAACCCTCGCTCTTGGAGGATCCATCAGTGGCCCTTTGAGCGGGAGTCGGCAAGAGGTTCCCCGTGGCGAGCTGCATGCGTTCGTGTCGTGCCCGTCTGCTGGGCGACTCGAGGGTTCATTGTCCACGTGGCAGATTGCGCATCGGTTGTCTCGGGATGGCACCGTGCATCGGTTGTGCATCGACATCATTATCTCGGCGGGATTGCGCGTGTAATGCAACTTAAGGTCTTGCGTGCTGCCAGGAAGCGTAGATGCTGCCATGTATAATCGTGCCCTCCTGTGTGAGTCGTCACGTGACGTAGGCACAACCTGACTTCGCCACACGACGGGTTCGGAAACCCTGAACCCTAAAAGGTTGTCATCTCTTGGAAGGTAACGTTTTACTTCGGCCGGTTTCCGCCAGCCTTCCGCCGGCTTCCGCCGGCGGAGGCCGCCTCGGTGCACTTCCGCCGCCTTCCGCTGAGGCAACGATGGCGACCCCGTCGACCCCCGAAGGCGAAGCCCCTTCCGGGATGCCTCATACGATCCGAGCCATACTCATGCGCCCCCCCCGCCCGCCCGCAGGAAGGTGGGAGCGGAGGAACTCTCGGGAGGGACGGGGGAGAGAACGCTGAGCCCGGCGCTCTTCCCGCTTGACGAAGCGGCTCACCTGCCGGAAGCCGGCCGCCGCACCCATCCCCACCCACCGGCATACCCCGTGCAGGTACATCCGCCGACCATGCTGCCTTTTCGATGCGCGCGGCCCGACCCCTTCCCCAGCAGGCTCTCCGCCCAAGATCTGTCGTGGGCAGCCCCGGGGCCCGACAACGACGCATCGTCGGAGATCCTGGGGACCCTGGGCCCACGACGGGCGCGCGGAGCCCCCTGGCCTAGCTCGGCAGCGAGCGAAGGGGGGGGGAACGAGAAGGGACGGGCCTTCTCGGAAGGCCCAGAAGCCCCCAAGGCCTTCTGAGAAGTTCCCTGAGCCTTCCCCGGAGACGCCGACGGCCTCTCCGAAGGGGCGTGAGGGCCTCTGAGGAGCCCCGCCGCCTTCTGAGGAGGCCTCCGCCTTCTCGCTCCCCCCCCCCTGGCACGCCGGGGTCCAGACCCCTGGGGGGCCTCGCTCTCGAAAAACAGCGGCGTCGGATGCCTGGCCCCTGCTCTCGGAGGAGGGCTGGTCGAGACAAGGACGGCCCCCCTGTAGGCTTTTTGGGTCCTCTTTGGACCCCCTGGGAGGCCTCTCGCCGCGGACTCCCTGGGGAAACCGCACGATACCGATACCGCTGCTCCCCGGGCCTCTCCTGGGGCGCCTTTTGACCAGGGCCGCGCGGCGAATCCAGCGGTGGCGACGAGGGCCGCCCAGGAGGCCCCCAAAACGGGGAAAACGAGGGAAGGGTAGAGGTATGGGCACCGCTCCCTCCCCCGACTCGCGAGGACGCGCGCGGCGGGACCCGCGCGCGAGCGGAGCGGCACCCCACGCGCGAAAAACCGCGCGCCGGAGGCCCGCGCGGAGGACTTCCGTGCGCACCCGGCCACGCACGGCGGCCCGACAGCGCCGGAAGCCGGCGCGGCCCCGCGCGCACGCGGCTCCCGCCCAGGCCTGCCACGGCACTCGAACTTTGATGGTCGTCCAACCTGCTTTGGCCTTGACCTCCAGGAAGAACTTAGGGGAACAAAGTGCCATAAACATTAAAAACTCGGAGGTCCGCGCGGATCCGAGAAATCCGAGAAATCCGCGCGGACCTCCGAGTTTTTATGTTTATGTCACTTTGTGTTCCCCTAGAATTTCGAGCACCAGGAAAGTGCCCAAACTCTATGGTTTTCACGCGTCGGGCCCTGGGAGACGCTCGTCCGACGCTGCTTCGAAACTTTTCCAGGTGCTCGAAATTGTTTCTGGGGTGTGGTCCTTAAGTACGATGGGAGCTAGCTACATAACAAGAAAAATAACAAACCACATGAACATAAACTTTTGGCGCTCTGCGCGGATTTCTTGGATTCGCGCCGGACACCCCTCCCTGGCGCGCGGAGCGCGCCAGGGGCCGAGCTGGAGGCGCCACCGGGGGGGGCCCAAGCGCGGATCCAAGAAATCCGCGCGGAGCGCTAAAAGTCTATGTCTATGTGTTGTTTTCTCTTCTTCGAATTACACGTTAGATGAGCAGGCACAGAAGGACCCCTAACCGTGTAGGAGGCGCCCTAATCAAGGAGGGTCAGGACCATCGGAGATAGGGGGGTTGTTCTGCAGGTGTATTGGGCCAAGCCGCCCATGCCCATGAGCCTTGATCCGAAGAAGGGGCCCTCAGTGAGGTCACGCCTTCAGTATTGGGATTAGGGGGTTCTGCTGTTCTCGATGCCTAGAGACATTTGTTTTAATTTTCGGCGGCGGCCCAGGTTATCTGGTGGGGTGTCGGGGACCTTCTGAACCGGGCCAATCCAGACCCAGGTCAGTCAGGCTTTGCAGAAACCGGCAAGATCCTGCGCCCAAGCCCGGGCCAACGCGAAGGATCCTGCAGGATCCTGCAGGATCCTGCACCCAAGCCCGGGCCCATGCGACCCTGGCCCTGCAGGATCGTGCAAGATCGGGCGCTCTGGCTGACCCCCGTTTGCATTGAGTCGGGCCTGTCCTTCAACAGGAGGTATATTCAAAAACAATCAAAAATAGTCTGGGAACTACTGTCTTGATTATTTTTTAACTATTTGGAAATCTGTTTTGACTATTTCTAATTTTTCCCCCAAAACCCCCCTTGAAAGGGACACGCCCGACTTAACGTTTGCATTGACCCCCGTGTCAAGGCTCCCGAGGGTGGGCGTGGGGCGAGGTGCCGGCCGATGGCTGACCCGCTTCGCGCCGGGCAGCCCAACGTCTGCCCGCGCGCACCATGTACAGCGTGCCGCCCTCGGACCTGCGCAACCGACTACACAGCCAACCCGTGCAGTAGGGATGCGGGACAAGGATGCAAGGGCCCTGGATGCCCATGTCGAAGCTTCCCGAGCGGGGCGCGGCCAACGGAAGTGGTCAAGGATGGACCGAAGAGGCAAGGATGCGAGGGTACCCTTGGGAAGGTCGCCCGTCCTTACTCAGCGGGTTGACTGTATCATTAGGTCGGGCATGTCCTTCGACAGGCGGAGTTTGGACGAAAGCTCCAAAACTCCAATAATACCCTAACATATTCCAAAAAATATCAAAACATTGGCCTTAGACTATGCTTTGACAATTCTTGAATATTCCTCCTGTGGAGAGATACCCTCGACTGAACAATATCAAGCTATCCAGGGGGAGGGGGGCAGCGGGCGTGCGGGCCCGATTGCCCGCGTTAATCACCAGACCCTTCAGAAGATGATCTTGGTGAGACGACGCCAGGACACAGGAACACGGAAAAGAGGCACCACCACCACCACCAGCAGGGACCCCCAGCGGGAGGAGCCAGCGGGGGTCTCCCTGGTCTCTCGCCCGAGACATCCCCTGTC